GGAAGGTGAAGCCGTTTGTAATTGTAGCCGTAGGAGATTCATTGTTGACTAGTGATGAGTCGAAAATGTTTTTGCCATCTCATCAGCTAACGTTTCTCTGAGATCATCTCTTCATTGAGGGTGGCCTCTGGATTATCTTGTGGATGGATTGGCTTCCCTTACAGAGATCATGCAGGTCACATGCTTCGACCAAAAAAGCTTAGGCAACTTTTGTGGTGAAATTTTTTCTTGAAGATGCTTAAGAAGCTAGAGATGTTCTTCCCAACAAGTTGACCAGCCTGCAGACTTCAAGTTTTTCCCGCAATCTCATCTCTGATAGATGGGAATTGTTCTCTTCAAAGAGACATCAGAGTTCGAGGTGCCTAGTGCAGACTTGATCACTGCTCCTGTGCTCATATGAGCTATATTGCCAGTCAGAGCTTGAGCGATATTAGACCTGATCAGAACCCATGATCAGGATAAGGCTCTCTAGGTGATTCCACTCAAGGCTTCTCTACAGTCAGGGAGCCAGATTTATTCTATGAAGGCAATTAAAAGCCAGAGTTGCTTGTTCAAGAAAGGCAGTCACCCTTATGATGTATCTTCTTCTGGAGGGTCTCTGGGGTGCTAATCGTCGCTCTACCATCTAGTAGATGACGTACTTGGCAAACACTCCTCAGAAAGTTACAGAGGCCTTCGAGGATTATGCCTATGTTGATTCCTCTTAGCCAAAACTAACCCTCCTTAGCTTGAATGATACAACTCCCGGTTTCATTTAGCTTAGATGGTACAACACTACTGACGTTCTTCAGGGTGAGTAGAATCAGACTCATGTTCAAAACTTGATATGTCTTCTCGAAAAAGGGAGGAGGGTCTAATAGTGGACACCAAATTGTTGATGACTAGGAACCAGGCATAAAGTCGGAGAAGGAGGCGACCCCTTCATCAATCTCCTCTACCTCATCCCAGCAAGGACTCAAGAGGAACCGATCCCACCCCAGATCCACACCTATCCTCTTCTGGATACGATTGACTATTTGATCCTAGTCATCAACAGATCTCCTAATATCTAGATCTCCTGATGTTTACCAAACTTTTTGACTGAACAGAATCATCAATGTCAATTTGAAGATGTTAAGATTGATTGAGCTTATTAGTCAACCAGAATGTCTTATTACATGGCCTATAACTATAAGTTATGTGTCTTACATGATAGGAGATCCTAGATTGTTTGCACACCGATGTACGACACTTAATGGACAATTTCATGGAGGATTCGGGCAATCACGAGCTAAATACAGATTTATATATATTATTAACTTTTGCAAAGAAACGATCATATCTTTCAATCCGGAAGGAAGATTCTGACATGTTATATATAAAAATCGCCTATCTCGATGAGACAGAACCAATTAGATTGTCAGATTTTTAAAATCTCATGAGTAATACTTAGTTTTGGTTAAAATCCGAAAATAATCAACCTTTAGTTTATTTTCAGTATTAAAGCTAGAGTCAATTTAGATTAGAAAATAAATTTAATGCTAGAGTCAAATTAGATTAGGAAACAAATTTAATTTTGATTCATGATTTGTTTCCTCTATTATAGGGAGTTTTTTTAAGGGTGGAATTTGATTTTTTTTTTCTTTGTAATTCTAGTCTTACTAGGAGTCTTGTTTATTTTTTTTATTTAAGAAGAGTCATGTAACCGAAAGAAGAATATCTTGGAATTAAATAAAACTTCTCTTGAAGAAAGTTTTGGTGTGTTTTCTTGAGTTTGTGGAAGAAGTCCTCGTGGTAAGGCTTCTTTGTTTTCACCGCTACGTCAGTTTGTATCAGAGCATGGTTCATCCTTGGCAATGGCTGAGAACAACAATGATCTTAATATTGTAATTGTCAAAATGCTCCAATTGATGCAACAACAGATGCAAGAGTAACTAGAACAATCACGACAACAACATGAGTTGATGATGGGGGTGTTTCGAAACTTACAGATTGGGAATAACCCTAGACAACAGGTAGTTCCCCTGACTGGAGGACCTATTGGAGGCAAGGGGTGCTAATCCCCACGATCTGCCGACTAGGGATGGTTTAAATTCGGATTCAGAAGGGGAGGAAGATCTAACTTTCGGTTCAAATAATGACCAGTTTATTGCTCATGGTCAGTACAATGATCGGATTCCGAAGATCAAGGCTGATCTCCCTTTCTTTAGCGAAAATCTTGATGTGGAGGATTTTCTAGATTGGCTTGCTGAGGTTGAGAAATGTTTCAACCTAGTGAGAATTGCTGATAATTTACAGGTTAAATACATGGTCTATAAACTACATAGTGGAGCTTCTGTTTGGTGGGAGCAATTTCAAAACAATCGCAAGCGCCAAGGCAAGCAACCTATTCGTACTTGGAGACGTATGAGGGAGGTACTATGTCTATGATTTCTTCCGATAGTTTATGATTAAATCCTTTATCAAAAATTTTAGGATTGTAAACAAGAGGATCGGATGGTCCAGCAATTTACTTAGGAGTTTTATAGACTATCGGTGCGGAACAACCTGAATGAAAAAAATAGAGGGATAATAGATTTTTAGGTTTATCAGTGGTCTTCACTCCGTGATCAAGGATCAAGTGCAATTGACAACCATATATAGTGTGGATGAAGCAATTAATCGTGCTATGAAGGTGAAAGTGCAACTCACTCGTCCCAATAGATATCAGTCCAATTACAAGAGATTTGGTGAGTCGTCACCAGGTCAGAATACAAGGTATAAGTAGACTGAAAACTAGAACACTACTCAAAAGGATGCAGATGATAAGACGGACTTGGCAAAGCAAGGGAATCAAGGTTTGTAGAATTAGCAGAATTTCCAGAACTAAATGAGAGGAGTTCAGCCGAATCGACACAATAATAATCCCTATGCTCGGACACATAAGAATAAATGCTATTGCTGTCAACAGATGGGGAACTTATCCAATAACTATCCTAACCGTGGTAGAGTTAATATGGCTGAAAAGGAGGACATCGAGGAAGGCGAGCTTGAGACTGAGGTCGAACACCATACCGTCAATCTTGATGATGTGTATGACGAGGACGAGCGCAAGGTGCGTGTAGTGCACAGAATGATTTTGGCAACTGAAAGGGTGGCTGAGCACCTACAAAGGCATAATCTTTTTTAAACTCGTTGCAAGGTGAATCAACATGTGATTGAGTTGATAATTGATAGCGGTAGTCAAGAGAATTTGATATCTCGAGAAGCAGTAGATAGGTTAAAGTTGCAGACACAGAAGCACTCTTCCCCTTAAAAAGTCAGATGGATTACATCTGTAGGTGATATCAAGGTCACGAAACAGAGCATAGTTAATTTCTGTATTGGCAGGTTCAAAGATATAGCTATTTGTGATATTGTTGATATGGATGCATGTCAGTTAATGTTGGGCAGACTGTGGCAGTTTGATATGGATGTGTGTTATAAGGGAAGGGAGAATGTAGTAGAATTTACTAAAGACAATGTGAAGTTTACCCTATGTCCCCTGACAGAAAGTAGTGTTCCTAAAATTAACAGAAAATCTACAGTAATGTTATATGCCGCGAGGGAGTTTCAGAAGGAGTCTTTGCATGCCCCGTTTGTGTTTGTAGTAGTGAATAAGGGATTCACCGATTCTACGAATGACATTCCAGAACAGTTAAATTCCCTTTTGAAGGAGTTTCGTGACATCATAGCTAAAGAGCTTCCCGTTGGATTGCATCTACTTCGAAATATTCAGCATCATATTGACCTCGTACCTGGAGCCACTCTTCCAAATTGATATTCCTCATTACAGGATGAGCCCAACTAAACACGAGATATTACGGGAGCAGGTACAAGATTTATTGCAAAAGGGGTACCTTAGGGAGAGCATGAGCCCACGCGCAGTGTCAGCCCTCCTGGTGCCTAAGAAGGACGGGACTTGGCGAAAGTGTGTTGACAGTCGGGCTATCAATAAAATACACATGATGTGGGAAAGAATAATATACAAAAATTGATTCAGAAGAGGTCCTAGCTAAGGAGTTAAAAGAACAAATAGAGAAAATCAATGCTAAGTACAAGGCGGATGCTGATCGATGCAAGAGAAGAAAATTATTTATTAATGAAGCTACTATTCTAATAAATATAAACTTAGGGTCGGGCTTCTTTCAATAAGGGGAGACTGATGTAGGACGCTTAACAGTCAATTTCATGGAGGATTTGCACAATCACGAGCTAAATACAGATTTATATGTATTATTAACTTCCGCAAAGAAACAATCATATCTTTCAATCTGGAAGGAGGATTTTGACATGTTATATATGTAAATCGCTTATCTTGATGAGACGGAGCTAATTAGATTGTCAGATTTTTAAAACATCATCATCAATACTAAGTTTTGGCTGAAATCCAAAAATAATCAGCCTTTAGTTTATTTTTAGTATTAAAGTTAGAGTCAATTTAGATTAGGAAATAGATTCAATTTTAGAGTCAAATTAGATTAGGGAACAAATTCAATTTTGATTCATGATTTTTTTTCTCCATTATAGGGAGTCTTTTAGGGTAGGATTTGATATTTTTTTTTTGTAATTCTAGTCTTATTAGGAGACTTGTTTATTTTTCTATTTAAGAAGAGTCATGTAACCCAAAGGAGAATATCTTGGAATTAAATAAAACTTCTCTTAAAGAAAGTTTTGGTATATTTTGTTGATGATACGAAGATATCCTTGATGATATCTTTTCAGTTAGTTGGTTAATTATTAGATAAGAGATATATGTAGTTAAGATAAGTGGTTAGTTTGTTATTTGAGTAGTATAAGATGTAATCCTCTGTTTTACTTTCGGTGATCAATAAGATTCTTTCTCAGTTCCTATATGGTATCAGAGCGGGTTATTGATCCGTGAGAGAAACTCCCATAGCCGCCACTTTTGTTTTTCTTCTTCCTAGATCCACAGCCACCATTCTTCTCCTTCCTAAACCCAACAAAAAAAAAGAAGACTTTTTTTTTCTATTGCCGAAATCATGACGGAGAGAAACACAGCCAACAAAAAAAGGTTTGGATATGTCTTCTCCATTTTTTTGCATCCTTCAGATAACCCGGGAGCGGTGATCACCACGTGCATTCTGAATGGAGAAAACTATGATATGTGGGTGAAGGCGATGAAGAATGCGCTTAGAGCAAAGAACAAATTGGGTTTTATCGATGGCACACCGGAGAAGCCGGCACCGGATACACCGGAGGCGAATAGTTGGTCCTCTTGCAACTCGATGTTGATTTCTTGGATTTTCAACTCTATCGAAAAATCCATTCAGCCGAGTATAGCCTACGAGGAGACAGCTAAAGCTATTTGGGAAGATCTACGTGATCGTTTTTCAATTGGGAATGCACCTCGGATTCATGAGTTGAAAGGTCAGATTGCGTCAACTAGGCAAAATGGGATGACAGTGATGGCGTACTACACGCAATTGAAGAGCATGTGGGATGAACTCTATAGTTATTCTAAGGTGCCAAACAGTACTTGTGGAGCAGCACATGATTTTCTTCGTGAGCACGAAGAAGAGAAACTGCATCAATTTCTCATGGGACTTGATGACGCCATTTTCGGTACGGTGCGATCTCAAATACTCAACATGGAGCCTTTACCTCCTCTCAACAAAGCCTATGCTATGATTAGTAAAGAAGAAAGACATCGATCGATTGTGCGAGGACAAGAGGAGCGTCCAGAGGTGATGGCAGAATGATCTGGATTCTCCCCTTTGTTTAATTCTGGGTTCTTCACGGTAGCGATGAGATGCCTCCCTCGAATGCTTGCGTCGAGTTTGCTTCTCGTTGACGATCCGAATATCTATACTTCACTGGAACAGCTGTCTTGGCCGGTTGATAACTCTTGTCGAGTTTTGTGATTCAGAACAAGTAACAAACTCTAATGATAGAGTTGTTGGAACCGAAAATAATTCGGTTAATAAGCCAAATATCGATGGTTTAGAGATCCTCCGTTTGTTGATTTCCCAGACTGTGTAAGGAGTCAATCCCCCTTTTTCTGATTCTGGAAGATTTGATCGAAAGATCCTCCTCCGATTAATGAAAAGAAATCTCTCTTGATCTAATTATCAAAAATCCGATCTCCCCTCTCCAAAAAGATCTCTCTTCTCTCTGTTGAGTTTGTTGCCATTTATAGGGAGATTCGGGGTGTAACTGCCCCCATAATCCGATCCTAAAATCAGGGTTTAGTTGCCTCATTAATCGGTTATAACAACCCACGTAAACCACTCCTCAGATCGTGGGTGAAGAGCGG